AAATATTTTTATCTATGTGTATTTGTGTATATGACACGTGTGCAAGTGCCTGTGGAGGCCAGAAGAGGGTATCAGATCCCCTGGAGCTAGAGTTATAGGTGGTTATGAGCCACTAGACATTGATTCTAGGATCCAAACTCTAGTCCTTGGGAAGCAAGGAGCTCTCTCCAGCCCCTATAACTTTTTTTTAAAGACCTACTAGGGCTGGGGAGTGGCTCTGTGGATAAGGCACTTACCTTGAAAGCATGAGGACCAGAGTTAAATCCCCAGGATCTGAGCAGGCACTGTGGCCCACCTGTAACCCCAGCAGTGGGGAGGCAGAGAAAGGAATTTCCCCAGGGCAAGCTGGCTACCTAGACTAGCCAGAATTGGCAAGATCTGGGTTCAATGGGAGCTCCTGACTCAGTAAAGAATGTGGAGAACAGCTGAGGAAGATACCAACACCAACCTCTGGCCTCCATACAGAAATACATGTGCATGTGCACCCCCATCCTGTGCACCCACACACATCCAAAAATGTATACACACATGTATATCACATATACACATGCAAAAATATTCTTTTTAAACATACTAGACAAAAGGCCAGGCATGATGCTTCATGCCTGCAATCCCAGAAATCAGGAGGCTAAGGCAAGAGTCTCATGGGTTTGAGCTCAGCCTGGGCTACACAGACTCTATCTCAAAAACAAAACAAACACAAACAACAACAAAAAACCCAATACATCAAAACCCCCAAATTCAATCAATGTAATCTAACATATCCATCAAGCTAAAGAAGGCAAATCATAGGATCATATCACACTTGACAAAATTCAGCATTCATTTATGATAAAAATTTTAAATATATCATGGGGGGTACTTTCTCAACTTGAGGAAGAGTATCTAGCATCTATAAGAACCTTTCAGCTAGCATCACACTTACTGGTGAAAGATGAAATGCATCCTCTCTAAGAGCTAGCCAAAGGTGCTTTACTCTCACCACTCTCACTCAACATAGTTCAAAAGTTGGTGCCAGCACAATCAGGAAGGAAATTAGATAAAAGTGTATGGTTGGAAAGGAAGAAACAAAACTATCCCCAGTCGCAAACAATGTGGTTTTCTCT